CACCAACTATTTCCTTCATGCTAAGGGATGATTTTGAAATAAATACAGATTCTATAATATTTAATTTTCTTCTGTTACATTGCGTCGTATATGAGACTTCGGTCGGAGATCATAGTTTGATGCCATGTCATAATGTTATATATATATATATATATATATATATATATATATATATATATATATATATATATATATATACAAATTTAAAATAAACAGTATTAAACAACATTTACCAGCCTGAATGTCCGAGAAATTTTCATAGAAAACATTCGTACACCGACAGGAATCGAACTTGTGCAAAAATTGGTAAACTTTTTAGAGAAAAATATTTTTGTGCAGTTATTATTTATGTTAATTAGCAACTTTCTCTGGGTAGAGTTAGTTGTGGTTTCAAAATCGACCTACCTAACATATATATAATATATATATATATATATATATATATATATATATATATATATATATATATATATATATATATATATATATATATATATATATATATAGAATGAATATATTTTATATTATATAATTATTATTCAAAAATACTCGAATAGTAACCACAGAATATGGTCCGTATATTTTAGTTTGACCCGTTAACATTAAAGAAGATAAATAATTATTATAAAACTGAAAAATAAAACTGACAAAGAAAATACGTACGCATGTCTTCGAATAGTAAATTCAAACACAGAATCGTGAGTCTATCGATTGATGAGTGATAAACAATTGTCTTGTAAATGGATTTTTAAAGCATTCTGAATATAAAATAAAAAGAAAAAAATGTGCAAGGCGTTGCCAAAAAAAAAAGGGAGTTTTGTGAAATCAGTTGAAAATGTAGATAGATCTGTAATCTTTACAATTTATGATTCGACCATGAATACAGTAAAAAAAAATTGCAAAGACTTGTGGTGATTCATAATTAAAATTTGAATATAAAATTGACAAAGATTATTTTTATTTGGGGTTAATTTATTACACGTACATGTCTTAATAATTTCATTTTTTTTTTTTGTTTTTTTTTACGTATTTTTTAATTATTTCTTTCAAACCCAAATTTCAAATAGAACAAAACTTGTAAATAAATTATTTAAAACAATGGGAATTATCTTTCCTAAAGAGTCGATTTTTCGATTGATGAATAGAATTTTGTTTATAAACAATTATTTTTTTTGTGGTCAAATGGAATTTTTAAAGCATTGTTTTCTGAATATCGATTGATGAAAAATTTAATTATAAAAATGTGAATTTTAAAGACTGAAATAAAATAAATGTGCAAGACTACCAAAAAAAAAAGTGAAGTTTTGTTGAAATCGGTTGAAAAATGTAGATAGCCTTTTTCTGTAATCTTTTTTACAATTTATGATTTTACTTATTGAATACAGTAAAAAAAAAATTGCATATTTTGCTTGTGGTGATTCATAATTAGAATTTGATTTGAATATATTTTCCACTCGTTGTTTCTAATACAAAAATATTAACTTTATTTGGGTTTATTAATTTATTACAAGTACTGTGTTCTTTCCTTAATAATTATCATCTTCGAAATATTGTTTTTTGTCTATCAGATTTCTTACGTCGGCATTTTTTAATTATTTCTTTCTTTTAAATATTGAATTAATTTCAAATAGAACCAATGCCTTATTGATCTGCCTTGTAACAAATTGCAAAGGGAATTGTAAAAACGGCCCTAAAGTACGTGGAATTATCTTTCCCTAAAGATAAAGAATTATCCGATTTTTCGATTGGTACAATCAGTAGAGATCGTTAGATTATTGTTTAGGTAGACGGACACGCATGTCTTAGTTTTTTTTTGTTTTTTTTACGAATTGGTCAAATCCAAACTCAAACAAAAACATTGTTTTCAATCGTTATGATGAGTCCTCTGATTGAATAGAATTCGAATTTTATTATAAACAATTGCCTTGTAAATGGAATTTTTAAGCATTCTGAATGTACTATAAATAATGAAAAAAGTGTGCAAGACAATAAGAAACACTACCTGCCAAAAAAAAAGTGGATGTTTGTTTTATCAGCTGAAAAATGTAAGAAATCCGATCCCATATATAAAGGAACACACACACACACACACACAAACAACCTGTTTTTTTTTTAACCCGATGTGAGTTGTCCCCCTTTCATTCTCACGATGTGTCGTAATCGTGTTTTCAAATTGATTTTGTTAAAAAAACACTTGTGTTTTTCCCATTTTCGGCGCCGTTAGAACCACCACAAGGTAATTTTATGTAGTCCTTTGAAGTTTTGTTGAAATCGGCTAAAAAATGTAGGAAATCCTATCCAATATATACGGTACCGTCATATAGCCTGACGTGCCTTAACCGATTGGGCCACAGAGCATCATCCGGTAAGCAATGTCGATTTTACTGCTTTTAGTCTACAATCTTCCATGATTCTCTTATGTACATTCATAAATGTTGTTTAATAATGTTTATTACAAAAAGAGCATTTACAAATATTCTTGTAGCTATGTCCAGAGATC